CCACCGCGTAGGTGGCATGCACTCATTGGTGATGTATTTTTTTTAAACTTATTAACATCACCAATGAGTGCATGCCACCTACACGGTGGACATATTAACATGTGTCCACCGTGAGTAGGGAAACATTATATATATATCATAATGATGATTCGTGTCCAAATATTGTACTCATGGCTGGCTTGATAAGACTAGGGAAATTGTTTCATGTAATTTTGTGCTATGTTGATATAACTATTATTTCATAATTCAAAAAAAAGTATAACATTTGATATTATAAATCTTCATTTTTATTCTATTATTTATGGATAATAGTTAGATTGTCCTACACAGCAATTTATATTATTTTATAGTGAAAAAAAAAATAATTATTTTAATATTAGCTAGGTTCAAACATTACAAGTTCTATCAATGATATGGTTTTCACATACCGAATAAAACCAGAAAACGAAATTTCGTTTTAGTTTCGGTGCGGCCAATTGTATGCCATTATTGTCACCTCCAGAAGATCCAAAAACAAAAGAAAAAAAAAAAAAAAAAAAAAAAAAAAAAAAAAAAAAGTTAAAATCACATATAAACCAAGTAGTACTGTTGGAGCTTCTTTATATTTTATCGTAGTATATAGTCCGCCTTATATACCGGACAATAATAATAAAACATATAAATTAAAGTAATGAAATAAAGAATAGTTTTAAATATTAATATTAATTTATATATATATTTTTAATTCTATAAGACATAATTTTTTTACATATTATTTATATATGTAGTTCACCCGTTATAAAATAGCCAATAGCAGTCGTTTTAAAGTTTTTTCTTTAAAATTAAGCAACATCAAATGCTAACATAGATTATCAATAGATAGTATTCATAAAAATACTTCTCACTCTCTTTTTTTCACTCTTTCCTAATTATATATACTATTTTGATTCATAAATAAAAGATTACAAATTTGAAAAAATATGACAAATATTATAAAAAAAACCATAAAAATATTTTTTATATAATATATAATCGAGTATATTATAAATAGTTTGGATTTTTTCTAATGTACTAATTCACATGACATTTCGACATGGATTGATTTATCATTGCGATTTATTAAAATATATGTTATAAATATTTTTTTTTTTTTTATAAGCTAACAACTGACATCATTGTTCAACAAATGACTCGTTGGTTTTATCGATATAATTTATAACAATATATATTATAAAACATTTTGGTTTTCTTTCTAATTTATAGTAACAATTTAGCAAAAACGTGGTATATAAAACCGTGCATATTTATTTAATCAATCCGCCAATTGGAATTATGATACGGACAAGCACTCACGATTTAGCCAAAGATTATATATATGACCCCACACGTGTCTTCTACCAATAGAATTCTAAAAACCTCGTCCAAGCGAAAAACCACGTCATCCAATTGTTGGCGTTCGATTATCCACGTAGGATTTGCGGGCCCCACCTGAGGGAGGGGGAGGCACAAAGCGAATCATGGGAGGGAATATACGGAGTGGAGTGTGCGAATTATGCTTTCTCTATATGCGAATATGCCTTTTCCCCATATTATTTAGCGTCAACCGAGACGGCTGATTGAATGACCAAAATGCCCCTGCTACTTGTTGTGATGGATATAAAAGGCTCAATTGTTTTGTCATGTATGGATTGACCTTTTTGCCCTGTAATCAGAAAGCTTTCTATTCAGTTAGGGCGTCTCCAATAGTTAGCTATTTGGCTAACTATTATGACGTTGACAGGGGAAAAGTAAGAGAGAGAGTAGTCACTAGCTACTAACAAATAGCTTATCTATTTCACGTAGCCCAAAATCATGTGAGAGGAGTACGTGGGTCCAATAGTGTAA